ATGTTTTCTTGTTGGGTTGGCCAAGGTGATCAGACAGTACCTGGAAGGTAGTAGAGACTGTGAGGAAACAGTGAGATGGGAAGATGGAGACTTTTGACTAAACTGACTTAGCAAGGCTCTTTTTGCTAAAACTGAATTGTACGAGAAAATACAGAGAAGGGCCAGCACTGAGGAAAGTGTGGACAGGCAAAGAAAGTCCCCCCTTGCATAGTGGGTGTTTAAGACTCCAGTATATACCAGTCATGATTTCTTTCTCTTCTGTGTCCTTTAGAAATAGCTTTCCACCGATTCTGAGTAGAAGCAGTAAAATTAAGGAATGAACAAGTAAGAATTTTGGGGATTATTTATTGCCTTAAATAATTGATAAAATGTTCCCATTTGCCACCTTTTGTGTTGTGAATGAAAAATTAATGTCATTGCCCCAAAGTCAGACTCTGCCTTCATACCAAATACTTTTCTGTTACTGAATGTGCAGGACAAGATCTAGAAAAACAGGGAAAGCTTGTGTTCCCCATGTTACAGAAGTATTGTGTATGTTGCAGAAGTCTTTATGTATTTGGAGCACCTAGCTCAGGTTTGGATGTAAGTAGAGTGTACTGAACAATGGTGGCTGTGGTTAACAATTCTGTCATGACTGTCATGCTTTGTTGGTGATATTTGTGTTCTTTTCCATCTTTTTCATCAGTTGATTATCTTAAACTACACCTTTATGAGAGAATGATCCAACATGGGAAGCAGGATACACAGCAGACTCAGAATGACAAAAGCCCTAAACAGCACTCTGGCCTCAGAATCAGCCCTTAAGGCATTCAGATCCTGCTAAAAAGCCCATGAGTGTTTCTTAGGCATGGAAAGCCAAGATACTGTGGCAAAAAAAAAAAAAAAAAAAAAACCAAAACCAAAAAACAAACAAACAACCTAAATGAAAGATCTCTGTGAGTGAGATCCCAGTGGGAAGAATGGGAAGAAGGGACCATCAAAAAAAGGAAGTACCTTTTTCTGAAGGGAGGAGAGGACTTCCATTTTGATCATGGCCTTGTCTAGATAATGTCAGAGTTTGTGAACTCAAGAGGCTTCCATAGCCTTGGTAGCTCATGACAAGAGCCTCGGATGCTCACTGACATCGTAAATAAGTGTCAATTGTTAAATCAACAGTAGGAGTCACTGTGCACTTGCTCCTCATGTAGGACCTCTGTCTTTAATGAATTGTGTTTTGAGAATTAACAGTAAAATTTGTCTTCAAACAGTACTTTATACTATGAGTGTCTGTGTGGGTGCACAGTATAGTATAGGGTTGGTCTTCTGTATATAAGATAATTAAAAATGAATTTTAATGAATGGGATGGGAGAGGGAGTAGGAGGTGGGACGGGAGTGGGGGTGGGAGGGTGGGTATTGGCAGGGAGAAGAACCAATATATTCCTAAAGCTGTACCTACAAAATTTATATTTATTAAATAAAAGCTTTCTATAAATAAATAAACAAACAAGCAAGCTACACCTTTACATGTTAATATTGATGATTTGCTGCCACCTACAGGCTAATGTTTAAAAAGCAAACATGGCATTGCCAATCTTCTGGAATACTGTATATAAAATCTCAAGGTCATCTTGGCAATACTGAAGCCAACTGTGGACAATCCTGTTGTCCCATTTTCTGAGACATTTCTTTTCCTTGGTAACCTAACACTTGGATAGTATCAGAATCCTCTTAAACTATTTTTGGAAATGGGCAACATGCCTAAAGAATTATTAGCAATCAGATATCATATTTTTCCTCTTGTTTAAATAGATTTGCAAAAATAATGTTTATTAAAAAGAATGATAGAGTCGTAGCTGTGTAAAACCTTGTTTGGCAGTTGAGTTTTATTTTTTTTGCTTCTGAGACCTTGTACTAATTGGGGAATTTGGGAGTTCCGTGCAAAATATTAAAATTATGTAAATTCATAGGTAATTATGTCTTGCTTCTTTGTGTTGCTTTATATAATTGTTCCTTGCATGCTTGTCTCCTGTCCTCAATCTCATAATCCACCCTAGAAGTTATATTGACAAGCACAGACAGGTCCTTGGAAGTGGTTTTTGATAGAATATGGCACAGCACCTGGTGCATGGTTTAATTTGGCTCGTGCTGAAATGAAAGGTGCCAGTGCCAGGTAGCAGGAAATGGCTCCTGTAAGGCTTGTGTGCTAACCCAAGCAGGTGAAGTGTGCTTTGATGACTGTAAGGAACTACATAAGGATTTTAAGCAGGAGAATGACATGATCAGTTTTCTGTTATGGAAATATTTCTTGGACAGTCCATTCGAAGATATTTTAGAGAATTGCAGAAGCAATGTATTCATTGAGATTTTCCGTCTCTTGATTGTACCTATTCTGGTGTCATCTGTGTGTTCAAAACCTTAATCAGGGCCGGCGCCGCGGCTCACTAGGCTAATCCTCCGCCTTGCGGTGCCGGCACACCGGGTTCTAGTCCCGGTCGGGGCGCCGGATTCTGTCCCGGTTGCCCCTCTTCCAGTCCAGCTCTCTGCTGTGGCCCAGGAGTGCAGTGGAGGATGGCCCAAGTGCTTGGGCCCTGCACCCCATGGGAGACCAGGAGAAGCACCTGGCTTCTGCCTTCGGATCAGCGCGGTGCGCCAGCTGCAGCGGCCATTGGAGGGTGAACCAACGGCAAAGGAAGACCTTTCTCTCTGTCTCTCTCTCTCACTGTCCACTCTGCCTGTCAAAAAAAAAAAAAAAAAAAAAAAAAAAACCTTAATCAGATTCTGTTTGCCAGTCCGATCTGTGATTTTTGAACTGTCTTATTTGCCTTGTATGCCTTTGATAGTTGTGTGGCCACTTTCCAGGTAGGCATTGTTTTGCACTGGTAATTATTGTTAACATAATTGTTCCCTGCTTTAAGCACAGAACATACAGTAGATGCTGTCCTAAACGCCTTGGTAACCTGTGCGCTGTCTGTTACGACTCCACTAGTGCACTCACTGCCTCACTGCCCTTGCGCTTGTGGCAGTGCTGGCTGCCTGTTCCACAGGGTGGTTCAGTTCTCCTTCCTTTTTTCTCTCCGCCCATTGAGTCCATCGCCTGCTGCCTGGCATCTTGCTTTGGGCAAACATCACCTTGCCTGTGTGGCTGATCTTGCACTTCTCCAGAATGGTCTTGGGGGGGCGTACACTGTGACCTTGACATTGATGGGTAGAAAGAGGCCAGGAGCAGGGAGAGAAGGAACCCTTCCCTGGCTCCCTCTGCAAAACGTCTGCTTGTTGAGGAGGCTGTGAAATCCCCGACCTGGGACATGGGAACAGATGGCAGACTGTGGCTGGAATAAGGCAGGAGGGGTCAGCAAGCACTTGCCTCAGCTGTAACATTTAAAAGGACTCCAAAAAAACTCAATGATCACATGCATTATTTATGAAAAGTTAAAATTAATGCAAAAAATGTCCCTGCTAGATAAAACGTCCAAATTTTAAAAAGACGTTTAGTCACAATGCTGTTTGTGCAGAACCATTTTGGAGACTGAGGCATTAAGAAAAAAATAACAATGCTGATTCTGTCTACCTAAAAATTTGGTATTTTGAGGGAGGGAGTCATGGCTGTACATGGCCATTGCTTGGGATACCCGAACTCCATATCCGAGTGCTGGTTCGAGTTCCAGCTGCTCTGCATCCGATCCAGCTGTCTCCATATGCAGATAGTGGCTCAAGTACATGAATTCCTCCCAACTACCCAGATGGATTTCCTGGCTCCTGGCTTCAGCCTGGCCTAGTCACAGCTGTTGCGGTGATTTGAGGAGTGAACCAGTGGATGGAAGATCTCTCTCTGTCTCTATCTCTCACTCTGTCACTCTGCCTTTCAAATAAATAAATAAGTCTTTAAAATTTTTTTGTAGGGGCTGGCATTGTAGTGTAGTGGGTAAAGCCGCTACCTGTGATGTCAGCATCCTATATGAGCGCTGGTTCATTTCCTGGCTGCTCCGGTTCTGATGCAGCTCCCTGCTAATGCACATGGGAAAAGCAGTGGAGGATAGCCCAAGTGCGTGGGGCCCTGCACCGACGTGGGAGACCTGGATAAAGCACCTGGCTTCAGTGCGGCTCAGCCCTTCAGGAGTGAACCAATGGATGGAAGATCTCTCTCTCTCTCTCTCTGTCTCTCCTTCTCTCTCCGTAATTCTGTCTTTCAAATAAATAATCTTTAAAACAATTCATTTTGAATTTTGTTTATCATGGATTCTTTGAAGTAGTTTTGATTTTTTTTTAAAATATTGCATTAAAGTATTACATACACCTAGTTTTTCTGATTTCCTGCTTTGATTTTGCAAACAAGGTGTGAGGGCCTTGCTGATCTCATCTTGACCTTGTGGATGGGGTTAGGCAGGAAGAGAGGGGAGACTTGAGAGGCAGCCACACCCCTGCTGGCCATTCCCTGGCAATGCAGAGTTCTTCTCAGTGGGCTGGGTCACAGGGGACTGAATATAGTATGTTGGCCTTAAGTAAGACGGAACCTCTCAGCATGAGTGTGTTAGGGTTTTTTCTTTTTGTTTTGTTTTTACAAGGGGTATCTGACTGTAAGGTTTGTTACCTCCACTAGCCAATGGAAGGAGATGGAAGAGAGTTTCGGGCACGGCGCTTGTTGGGGGATGGCTGCTTCACTGCGGTTTAAGTGTTGGATTGGCCATCACAGGAAGCCGCTCCCCCTTGTCTGTATGGAGGAGCTTGGAGGTTCGCTGGTCCAGCGCTCTCTTGCTCTGTGGTAACCGCGTTGTGACAGAGTACAGACAGCACCGGTGAGCAGACTGTATTTCCTGAGTCTGTGTTTTGGCAGGGTCTGAGATAGTGGCTTTAGGTGCTGGCCCAGACTTTTCTGGGGTCCTTCCCTCGGAGTGCCAGGTTGCCTGCAGGTGCAGAGAGGCGGTGTGTGGCTCTAACCCGTTCAGCTCTATTCCGGCAGGGAGCAGCCTGAAGAGAGTATTCCTCTACCTTCTCACGCTACAGACTATTTTCAATCCCCACAAAGGTCTGTTGAGGACGGACACGGTGCCTGAGGAAGCAGAAGATGCCGCGGCCACCATCAGTGCCACCGAGACGCTGTCTGAGGAGGAGCAAGAAGAGCTGAGAAGGGAACTCGCCAAGGTACAGAAATCTCCCCTATGAACTTCTTGTTCTGCACTGACAATGTACACTTGCTTGTGCTTCCAAAGCTTACAGTAATAGCTTGGAGTCAGTCCCGGGTGTGGGGGGGTGGGGAGAAAGTCCCGGGTGTGTGGGGGGTGGCTGTCCTAAGTGGGGAAGGGCAGAGAGAAGAGCGTGGTGTCTGTTTTCATATGGGAAGGTGATTACGTGGTCAGTGGATCTGAGGAGTAGGGTGTGATATAGAAAGGGGGGAGGAGGACGCACTTGGCTCTCCAGCTGCCTCCGTGCCTGTGTTGAGATGGGCACTTCTGAGCCTGCTCTGCCTCCCTCCCTCACTTCCTTCTTTCTGAACTTCCATCCTTTCATGAAATTCACACAACATACAATGTACCATTTTAAGGTGCGTAGCTCAGTGATCTTTAGCACATTTACAGTGTGGTGCAACTGGCACCTCTTTCAAGTTCCAAGCATTGTTCTTCACCGCAGAGGAGACCCTTGCACTCAGTAAGCAGTCACTCCTCAGTCCCCCCCACCCCACCCTGCCCCCACCGCGCGCCCTGGCAATAGCCAGTCTGCTTTCCGTCTGGAATAGATTTCACTGTTCTCTGAATCTCCCACGTAATGCAGTCATGCAATATGTGACCCTGTTGTATCCGGCTTCTTTCATTCACCACAGAGTTTTTGAGGCTCATCTGTGCATAGTATGTGTTAGTGCTTCATCACTTTTGTTTTTTTTTAAAAGAATTACTTATTTTATTATTTGAAAAGCAGATATATATATATATATATATATATAGAGAGAGAGAGAGAGAGAGAGAGAGAGAGAGAGAGAGAAAGAAAGCGATCTTCCATCTCCCGGTTCATGCCTCAGATGGTTACAATGGCCAGGGCTAGGCCAGGCAGAAGCCAGGACTCTGGAACTCCATCCAGACCTCTGACATTGGTGGCGGGGGCCCAAGCACTTGGGTCATCTTGACCTGTTTTCCCAGGTACGTTAGCAGGGAGCTGGATCAGAAGTGTGACAGCCAGATCTTGAATCGGTGCCCTATTATGGGATACTGGCATTGTAGGCAATGGCTTAACTCGCTACGCCACAGTGCTGGCCCCAGTACTTCATTACTTTTTATGGCTGAATTATGTATGTATCTGCATATTTTGTTTATTCAGATTCATCCACTGATGGACGTTGAGGGTGTTTTCTACTTTTTGATTCTTGTGGATAGTGAGCTGGGAACATTTATATACAAATAATTAAAAGCCTAGTTTTAGTTTTTTTGCATATATACTTAGAAGTGAACTTTGTCATGTGATAATTCCATGTTTAACTGTTTTTGGGAAATGCCAAAGTGTTTTTGATAGCAGTGACACTATTTTACATTTTTATATTTTATATCGCCAATTCTGGCATTGCAAGCAGCACTAAATTTCATGGCATGAGGCCAGCATTGTGATGCAGTGGGTTAAGCTGCTGCCTACAGCTCTAGCAATCCCATATGGGCACTGTTTCTGCGCTCTGATTTGGGATGTGGGTGTCCCAAGCACTAGCTTAACTGCTGTGCCAAATACCCGCCCACAAACGTACCTTTAATTCCATTTTTCCGTGAAATTTGTGAAATCCCCATGAATGTTGTTCTTAAAGGCCACGTTGCCTTTGAAATCATGGAGATGTTGTGCATGTCAAGGCTGAGAAAATGTCTCTCTAACAGTCCAGGAGAAGCATTTGTAAAGATTTTAGGAACTCAGGTTTTCAATGTCCTGGTATAAGACATCTTTCCTCCGTGGGGTGTGTGTGTTTCTGAGTCTCCCCTCCCTCTGTTTTCCTGACTTAGCCTTTTCTTGTATTCTTTTTCCTTTCATCATAGCTTCTGCTCACAGTTGGTTTCCTCGCGTCTGTGCAAACGTTCCCAGTCTCACGCTCTCCCTGTGCCCTAGCTGTACCTCAAGGCTTCTTTCTCAGTCTTTCCAGCTTCTCCTCCTAATGTTATCTCAGTCTCTCACAGCAGATTCTGGGTGATGCACCACTGGTTCTTGCCCACTGAGCAGGAGGCAGTACTTGGGTCAGGGACCCACCCTGCTGGGTCTGGTCAGTCAGGTAGACACGAATCTTCCTCAGGGTTCTCAGGGGACGCAGCTTGGTTTATTGTGGTTGTGGGATTGGCACCTGCTGGGACTGACATATCCAGCATGAACAAATGTGAACTACACAGAAAGGTTGGGTTTTGGTTTGGCTTGGTTGTATGTGTTTTGGTGGTGGTGGTGGTGGGGAGGAGATTATTTTTGAGATAGTGTAAAAATACGAGGTTTTGTGAGTGTTTGGGTAGGAACCCTTAGCCAGAAAGGCAGACCCAGAATTCAGGAGAGTAGATGGTAAGCTCCTTTGAGTGTTAACCTGTGCAGAGTACATTTTGAGCTCTTAACTAGTTTGAGATAGCTGAGTCAGGAGTGTAGGAAGGGGGTGGAGGGTCAAGGACAACTCAAGGTGGGACAGTGAAGAGCTACATTGGAAGAGCACAGAGCCGCCCAAGAGGGAGGGATCAGCATGGAAACAATCTACTTAACAACACTGCATACTGTCTTTAACACAGATGATTGAGTGGATTTTAAAAATGTAAGAATAGGCCGGCACCGCAGCTCACTTGGCTAATCCTCCGCCTGCGGCGCCAGCACCCCGGGTTCTAGTCCTGGTTGGGGTGCCAGTTCTGTCCCGGTTGCTCCTCTTCCAGTCCAGCTCTCTGCTGTGGCCCGGGAGTGCAGTGGAGGATGGCCCAAGTGCTTGCTTGGGCCCTGTACCTGCATGGGAGACCAGGAGGAAGCACCTGGCTCCTGGCTTTGGATTGGCGCAGTGCGCTGGCTGTGGCGGCCACTTAGGGGGTAAACCAAGGGAAGGAAGACCTTTCTCTCTGTCTCTCTCTCTCTCACTGTCTCAGTCTGCCTGGCCAAAAAAAAAAAAAAAAAAAAAAAAGGTAATAATGGCTATAGAATTTTCCATGTAGTTTCGCTTTGATCACGTTAACTTATTCAATGACTTGCTGTATTCCTTCCTCTTCCCCCTTTTCTCATAGGTAGAAGAAGAAATCCAGACTCTGTCTCAGGTGTTAGCAGCAAAAGAGAAGCATCTAGCAGAGATCAAGCGGAAGCTGGGAATCAACTCACTGCAGGAACTAAAGCAGAACATTGCCAAAGGGTGGCAAGATGTGACGGCAACGTCCGCGTATGTTCCCTGGTCATCCGTTTTCCTAAGAATGTCAAGGACACTTTTGCACTTTTTGTCTGGGGAGAGGAAGAAAAAGGGGCTGAGCATGTTACTGCAACTTTTCTTTGGATTGCAAAGGGCGCTTCTTTCCCATTCTCAAGTGTGTCTGAGTCTTAGTTTCCCAGAGTGTTCTAGGGAATGGAGAGAAAACCAGCCCCACATATGAGCTGGGGAAATAAAATTCAAGTTCCAACATTGTTTCATAGTAGTCTCCCCTTATCTGCACTTTTGTTTTAAACCACAGTCTGTAAATATTAATGGAAAATCCCAGCAGTAAACAGTTCAGAAGTTTTAAACTGCATGCCATTCTGAGTAGTGTGATGAAATCTCATGGCGTGCCATTGTGTCCTTCCTGGGATGGGAATCCTCTGTTTGTGCAGTGTATCCATGTTGTATATGCTGCTAACCTTAGTAGCTTAGTAGCTGGATAGGAGAAAATGCAGTGTATCCAGGGTGTGGTATTATTCCAGGTTACTGAGGGTCTTGGAATGTATCCTCTGCCTTTAAGGGGTGTGCCACTGTATAATAACTTGCCAGATATGTGCAGTGTGTTATTTATTAATTTGTTTTTATTTTATTTGAAAGGCAGACACACTGCCTCTCTCATCCCCTGATTCACCCCTGACAGCAACCAAGGGCTGAGCTAGGCAGAAGCTAGGAGCCAAGTACTTGAGCCACATGGGTGGCAGGGACCAACTACTTGAGCCACATGGGTGGCAGGGACCAACTACTTGAGCCACTGCCTGCCACTACCTGCTCCCCTCCCAAGAAGCGCATTAGCGGAAAGTTGGAATTGCAAGCAGAGCCCTGGCTCAAATGTAGGCATCTGCTATGGGATGCAGGTGTCCCGAGTAGCATCCTAACTACTGCAACAAATGCCCGTCCCACTTTTTTTTTTCCCTTTTGATCACCCAAATTACACAGCATTATTATAATGCAGTTTTGTTTCCCAACATAAGGTGCTTCTTGCAGCAGATTCTGGGCATTCTCGGTTTTCAGTATTCAGTCCCAGCTGCCAAGCCAGTGAACTTGGGAGTTGTCTTAAAGTTTAGCCATGCGCAGTGAGCTAGCTGCTTTGGTCCACTTTCCTCCCGTATAGGTCGGCAGTGTGGAAACATGTAGGAAACTCTCCTTTCAGTTCATTGCAATAAGCACATCTGGTTTTGCTATTTGATCTTGAAAGTAAAAGTACATTCATTTGTACAACGTGTGGATCTTATCCTTTTTGGTAGGTGCCATTGTCTTCTGTTGTTTGTGTTTTTGCTTTTCCCTTCTATTCCTTGGTAGCTGGGAAGAGGGAAGTGATAAATTATACCCTTGTGTTACAGCAAATATCACATTAGGATCATTTAAAGTATTTTGTATACTCCAAGAGTTCAGCCAGTCTTTATTTGGTAGCTCCACAGACATGCATATTAAAAAAAAAAAGCTTTATGCCCATAAAAGTCTGTGTAATAAAATATAGATGAGCCCTACCTCTCCTGACCTACTTCTTGCTTCATTTTGGGAGATAAAGTTGTCAAAGGTATCTGAGGAATTTAATGCATTTTGGTTTTGCTAGGCTTATCTGGGAAAGGGAGGAACAAGGGGTATTTCTTTCAGATTCTGGCTCATTTTCATCCTTGTTTCACGGCTATTTGTAGCCTTTACCATGAATTCTTTGGCTCTGTCTTGATAGGCCCCTGTCTTTTCAGCTAGATGAGTGCACAGCAGAAGACGGCACCCGAAATGCTGGTTCAATCGAAGGGGATGTGGTACAGCTGCTCGATGGCCATGAAGGACTTTAGGGAGTTCTGAACAACACTTTATTTTTGAGAGCTCTCCAGCAGTTGTTCACCAATGCACTTGAAAAAAAAAAAAAAAAAAAAGAAACAGATATTAGAGACGGCCTAATGTCTTCCTTTTTTCCCCATTTATCATTTCACGTAGATACAAGAAGACATCTGAAACCTTGTCTCAGGCCGGGCAGAAGGCTTCTGCTGCATTTTCGTCTGTTGGCTCAGTCATCACCAAAAAGCTGGAAGACGTAAAGTATGTCTTAGATTTTCCTTGCTCACCAGGTAGCCGGGGCTGCTTGCAGGGTTGCTGTGGTTGCGTTTGTTTCCTGTCTTTGGCTCTGCGATCCCGATGCATTCGTTCTCCTCTGTTAAAGTGACAGAGGGCCGTCCTGTACAGTGACACCTCATTTGCATGCCTGACTTCTTCTAGGCATAGCATCCTAACTTCAAAATGGTCATCTTAGGAGTCCATTTTCTAGATAACGTGAAAAATTCTGGTTGTGAACTTTTGTGTTTTTTTAGTCCTTGATGGTACGAGGGTAAGTATATGTCTGGTGGTTGCTAATTCGTGACTGGACAGAGCTTGGTGTCTTCCTGGGGATAAGTCCAAGAGCATTGACGTGCACGCTTGGATTGAGAACCGGCTTCACATTCGGTGTGTGACGTGTTTATACCATGGTGTGATTACAACATGCTCATTTGTGCCCTAATTTGTACTAACCCGTAAACTATCTGCGTTCATGCTTAGGTGCAAATCTTGATTTTGAAGCTGTTGCTTTTTGTTTTGCATTTGTATTTTAGATGAGTCTGCAGAACTTTTCTTGCCTTTGTGATAAAACTACCTAGAAGAGCTTTTGTGCCTCCCTCCACTTGCGTGGACTAGACTAGTGCTGAAAATGACAAACGTGGTTTGAGTCAGCTGTGCTTCTGTTGGCATGCAAGATTTGTGTGTTGTTTAAATGCTCAGATTGCATGACTTTGTATTTTTCTTATGTGGGGGAATTAGATTTTACAACCAGAATTTTCTTTGTTGGGTAGGTTTGATCAATCAATGTACTTGTGTTATTCTTTGAACCAAAAGAATTCAATTCTTTGCTCACTGTATTTGGACTTTCATTCTAAATATGATGTAATAAGCGTAGCTTTCTTGAACCCTTTTGATACTGATATATATATACATTATATATATATTATATATGTATCTGTTAGGTGCTCTCTTTGCTTTTTCTGCTGACTGAATTGGGTAGCACTTTAGAGTTCAGCTAAAACATTGTAAAAAAGTAGATGATTTAATTATTTTAGATTTATCAGAACTTCTTTCTTTTTTAATGCTTACTCTGGCTTCTTCCAGATTGCAAGCTTTTTCACATTCGTTTAGGTAAGGAGAGTTTTACCCCCTCACTGCAGCCTAGCAGTTGTGTGAGACCAGTGTGCAAAGATTAGATGATTATGACGTGTTGGATGGTCGTGTTTGTCCACTCCTTAATCTTCTTGCATTTGGAGTATTGTTTTTTCCCCGAGTGCATTCCTAATTTCAAGGGAGGCTTCCTTGTATACCATGGGTAATGAGTAAATTAAAAGGAGAATTTGACACTGTGGTTCAAGGGATGTGGAAAAGATTTTGACGTTTCTTTTTTCTCTTTTGTAAGAAGAAGCAGCTTTACCATGGCATGCAGAATTCCTCCCTTTGAATGTCTGACTTTGTTTGTTTGTTTTTGATGCCTTTGTTTCTTCGGTGCTTTTGTAAGGATGATGGAATTCTTCCCCTGGGTCCCATTATGCAGCTGTAATAGACAGCATATGTCCTGCCTCGTGATGTTAGTCTTCCGTCTTACATGAGTTACTCTCGTGATTGTAGTAGAATACACATAAGGCACAGTTCACCATTACTGCATACTTTTCAAATACGTGTTTCACTGTCTTAACAGGTTTTACTATTATATCTTTATATTAGCCATACTTTTTAACTATGCTTGCAAAAAAAAAAAAAGCACATAAGAAAATATTAGCCTAAACCAAGCCATAGAAGGAGACTTTGGGATACTGAGCAAACCTCTCCTGTCTCTGCACGGAGACTCTCTGATTATGCAGGGAGTTACTGGAGGGGCTAAGGAGGTGTAGGATCTTCAGAGTGTGAGCAGGAAGAGTACAGTAGTCCCTGTCTCTGCTCCTGCAGTGAATACACATGAGCTTCTCAAGCACTCCCTGGCTGTGGTGTGGCTATTCGTCTTCTTGAGGAAGGAGACATCTACTTAGAGAGCTCATGTCTTGGTGGCACTTGGCACTGGTAGTCAGAGGAAATCATGCAGGTGATTATGTATCTGTGGTGTTTAATTCAAAATAGCCTAAGTGCTAGATAACTGGATGTGCTTTCAGTCACCTAATCCATTCTGCTAACCTATATGAGTGTCTCCTGCGGACAGGTCCTAAGGATATGTCCATTACTAATAATGGGCAATGAATATATTTTTAATCCAGGTTCTTGCCTCCAGCAGAGATAGAAAAATCAAGTGGAGACTGGTATTGTGTGCCAACAGGAGTAGAATTTAACAGCAAGGGAAAAAACACACATTCACATGTGAGTGTGGGCTGCCCCACACTGAGAAATGCCCAACATTTGCTGAGGCCAAAGAGTTACCTGTAAATGAGAAAGAAAGAGAAAACCAAAAACAGTACCTCAGCGGGAGAGGTGGGTCCGAAACCAGTCTGTAGCCGAGAGAAAGCAAGGAGATGGTACGTTCAAGTGTGTGTTCTGCAGTGGAAAGAAAGTTGTTTCCTGCTTTTATGAGGAAGGGGGTGGTATCCCAATTGGACATACAGCTAGAGTTGGGTGTGAGCATGCACCCTGGTCCTGGATGCAATGGGTGCATTCTGGGAAGGTGGGCGTATCAAATTGACAATTAAAGAGAAAGGGTTGTATTGCAGGGATGCAAGAGTTCCAGCTTGTCTAAACTTTACTAACTGGTTAGTTACACTGTAACTTAACCAGACACAGCTTTGGTTAGAATAAAGCTTAAAATCTTTGAACAGAGTAGGCGAAGTAAGTGAGGACTTGGAAAAATGAGTTAAGAATGGAAGAGCCTTATTGGTGCCTGATTAGAAAATAATATTAGATGTGATGTAAGCATAAATATAAAATGTAAAAATATGTAAGGACTTTAGATGACTGTGTGTAAACTAGCCCAGATCATGGTACTTTTCTGTCCCTTTAAATAACTTATTTGAGAGGTAGATAGGCAAGACAGGGAGGGAGGGTGAGAGAGCGAGCGAGCATGTGCACGGGTGCACTCGCATTTGCTGGTTCATTCCCAGATACCTGCAACAAGCCAGCCGGGGCTGAAGCTGGGAGCTCAGAACTCAGTCCAGGTGTCTCATATGGGTGGCAGGACTTCAGTTACTTGCGTGATCGCTGCCTTCCAAGATCTGCATTAGCAGGAAAATGGAATCAGGAGGTGGAGCCAGAAATGGAACCCAGGGATTCCAATGTAAAATGTGGGCATCTTAACTGCTAGTCCAAATGCCCAGCCCTTCTGTATCTTTGAAAAGATTAAATAAATGCACTTCGGTGTGGATCAGTAGGTACTGCTTGTTAATTCATCAGAAACAAATTGAATTTGTTTTTTTTCTAGCTCCTTATATAGTCATTTCTTTCAATTAAAAATATAATTTTGAGACTACCTCCACCATTTTCAGTCTTGTTTTGAATAACTTTATATTGTGCCTCATTATGTAGAGGTTTTAATAAACACTTGGGAATGCAAAAAAACAAGATTCTCTCTTGAAAGTTAGTTATAATTAATTACAGACCAAAGGTTGAATGAAGTCACTTAAAAAAATCACTTCTAGGCCAAGAAGTCTTATTTGTAATCAAATCAGCTGAATTAAGTTTGTAATTAAATGTGTTCGTATGTAGGAGGGGACTTCAAAAAGTTTATGGAAAGTGGAATAAAAAGGTGTTTACTTTTGTGCAATTCTGTTTTTTTTTTTTTTTTAATCCATGCATAGTCTTTTCAAATACACATTTTCCATGAACTTATGATGGCCTCTTGCATGTAGAAAATCCACATAGTTTAGATCGAGGGAATCAAACACTGGCCAGGTTCTGCTGTACAAGAAGAGGATGCTTAAAAGTTTCATTTTCTTTGAAAGGTAGAGTGACAAAGAAGGGGAGAGACAGAAAGAGATCTTCCATCTGCTGGTTTACACCCGAAATGCCCACAAAATCCAGGGCTGGGTCAAGCTGAAGCCAGGAGCCAGGAATTCCATCTCGGTCTGCTGTGTGGGTACCAGGAACCCAAGTCCTTGGGCCGACGTGCTGCCTCCCTGGTGTATTACCAGGAAGCTGGATGTGAAGGGAAGGCAGGAAGCAGTCCTGTATGGGATGCTGGTGTCCCCAGCAGCAGTGTGACACACTGTGCTACAACGCCTGCCCGAGAAGAGGGAACTTGGTCGATTGTGTGTGTTCCAATCCCAGCAGTAAGGCCTTTTCTCCCATGGAGAGGGATGCAAAAGGCTGATTTTGTCAGTTACCGTGAAATGGTTGTGTATCCCCGCTCTTTGTTCTGGCAGGTGTATACCAGTTATTTCACTACCTGATGTCATCATGGGTATAGGAGGAGTAAATCTACTGCTCTCACTGACTTGAATGTAACACTGAGCAACAACTTTTAATGAATATATTAGCTATTAACATATTTGTCTTATGCCTTGTTGGGAGAGGTGATAAGGTAGATAGAGGTATTGATGGCTTGTGAGGTGTCTGTGAAAGAGAATCAGGTGTAGCTTGTGGTAATAAGACCTGAGCTAGTGGCTTTTGGGGAACAGCCAACCTCTTTCCCAGGTAGTGAGTTAATATCCTCCACTCTCCTGTTTGCTAAGACTCAACTCAGGCCTTTAACATTTTGAGAGGAACTTAGAACCTTCTCATTTCAGGACTTGCCAATGTTAAAAATTAATTTGTTACTAATAACATCTATAATTTATATACACATATATGTGTGTATGTATGTATACACACATATATGTACACACACACACACACACACATATACACACACACAGAGAGAGAGAGAGAGAGAGAGAGAGAGAGATGGTTATTTATTTCCAAAGGGTCTCTCCCTTTTAAACGAGTATTTTTTCATGTAGAACTCTGGGTGTATTTTTTTTTTTTAGGAACTCATTAAAATCATTCTAGACAATTCCTTTCTGCTGAAAATTTCCACCAATTCATAGGGAGGGAAAAGGTCCCTTTTCTCTTTTTAGAGACAGAGAGTCTTTGGATTAGAAATTGAAATGCTTTACCGATCTTTTCTGCCTTTCATGTCTTTACTTCTCAATTTTAGTTTCCAAAATTACTTATTCATTCATTCTTTCATTCAGAAGCACAGTGAGTATGCTAACTGTGTGCCAGGAACTGATCTAGACTATTGGTTTGGGGTTGACATCCAAAATAACAACTGGAAAAAATTTGGAAGCTTTAAGAGAATATAATATGAAATAGATGTTAGTGTTTCTGTTAAAATCAGTGATAGCAGTTAATAATAATTAGTGTGTTTTGCCTGGGAAGATTATAGTAACTTATGCATATATTTCCAAATATTTTGCACTAAAGTAATCTTTATTCTTTCATTTCATTTTCCATGTACAGTTTAAGTTTCTCTTCTTTGACTTTTCCTACCTTTCATGTTTCTGTTTCCTAGTCTGAGTTACCAAAATTGCTTATTCATTCATTCTTTCACTCTCAAAAGTACTGGTATTTCAAAATTTTTTTGCAATTTATATTCAATTTTTAATGAAGATTCCTTGTATATATAGTATCTCTTAAGTTGATACTGTTACTTTTTAATATTATAGGTGAGAAAACTTAGCCACACATTTCCTTAGGAAGATTGAGTTGCCTGCCTTAAGTTTACCCAGCAATTATAGGGAGCTGAAGGCCAGGCATTAAACCCACGCACACCCCAGTTCCAGAGCAATGGGCAGAAGTTAGTTTGTTTCATTACAGACATGAAGAGATTGTGGCAAGGGCACAATGGAATAGTAACCAATAGAGAGCTCTTAGAAGCTTGGCACATGGTAAGCATTCCCACGTGGGAATTTCTGAAATTTGTGCCTTCTTTATCCACGCATTTCCTCATTTTGCTGATACTGTGGAGTGTGAGTCCCATGCTCTTGTTTGATTGTTACTCACCTTCTGTCACCAGAATTTGATAATTTATGCAAAAGTGAATGTTCTAGGGAAGAATCTGGTTACAAAGGAGTAAAAACCTGTATTTGTTAGCTCAACTAAAAAGGGGAATGTGTTGCTCAGATAAGAAGTTCTTTTGTAATTCAAAGAGAGGAAAGGAATCAAGTCCAGGCCCTGCTGACGCCAGTGCTCCTGACTAGGAAACTATTCAAAGTTCAGATACTGTCTGGAAACCAAGAAAACCAGAAAACCTGTTCCTCTTGCAGCTGGCCCTGTTTCCTATACCTCTCTTTGTGCTCATATTTAATTTCTTTTCTTGGGAACTGGTTTCCTCTCCATTCTTGTAGCTTCTCCCTGGTCTCCCAAAATGTCCTTGTCAACATCAAGGTCTGTGTGACTTTCGAGCTTGAGCACCTAGCATCCCCCTCCACACACACACACCCAAACTGATCTGGGGGCTTAGTGTTGTAATTAACAACATCTGAATAGAAGTTATCTTAGTCAGTATATAAGTCAGTATATAAGTCAGTTATCTTAACTTTTTCTTCCTATTCAGTCCAGTTGGTAAGTCACTAGGAATTTTGCTGTGGTGGGTGATGTTCCACTGATCCAGTTATTGTTTTGGTGATGGTGGAAGCTGGTTTGTGGTAAAGTGGCTATTCCAGGCAGCTTCCTTCAGAGGGACCCTAGAAAGGAGAGGTGATGTTGGGGTTCTGGTGTTGCGTATTAAGAAGGCTGTTTTTCATTAATTTCTTTTCTTCAAATTTGACAATAATGCACTGTGATGGATCAAGAAGGAAAAGAATTAGCAAATTTCTCCCAGAACAAATGAGACTTATACCCAAGAAACTGCCTATTGTGGTAGGAAGGAGAGAACACTGAGCTACATGTGTCTTTTTCTGTTTGCGTAAGACACCAAGTACAAAAATGTTCAGATATTTTACTGCTTCTCTTAATTACACAAAATGTGAGCCTATTTTGAGATACATCAAGAATCAAGAGCATATTCTGTGTTACTACATACTAATACAAAACTAGATTTGAGCATCTGCATCCAACACACAGTATCATTTGTAACAACAGTCTTTGAGAAAACTAGGTCCTAAGGACACAAAATATTTATGTATAACTGAGAATTATTACTATTAGCTGTATGATTTACCCAAAAGAAGATTATTTGCCAAGAAAACTGTGCACAATATCAAAATAACACATCAAATGCACAGTGGTGGTATTGGCAGAATACAATGATTTTATGAGCCCAAGAATTAAGATGTACTCCTCTGTGAGATGGTCTCCATGGGAAATGGCTAAGAGTAGATAACATTGAACCTGAACAGCCGGTGTGCTTTATTGCCTTCAAGTGAGAAGTGAGTTGTGGCAAAGGTTATTTGAATCGCCTTTAAGAACATGTAGTGTAGTTGGGATGAGGTACAAGTAAGCATCTGTTAAAGAAACTTGGTACTGCTAAGGAGTGATATATAATTTTAAAAACACTTAAATAAGTTGTCACATAGGTGATTTATTTTGACACATTCCTGGCTGAGAAAGCTGTCTGCAGGGCCTTTCGCTGGCCTCACAGTGTGTGTGTGTGTGTGTGTGTGTGTGTGTGTGTGTACATCTACATGTGTGCACCTCCTTTTTGAGGGGAGGCAATAAACCTTGAATCAGGAATACAGAGACCCAAGTTCTATCTCTGATTCTCCTGTGGCCCCTGGCAGGTCATTTAACTTCTGAGCCTTAGAGCTCCAGGTGAAGCACTTACCAGTTTCAAAGTGCAGTAAAAGGCACGGCTGCATTATTGGCTTTAGTAACTACTGAGATTAAATTGCTTATGAATTAAAGTGCGTTGTATTGGAGTACCTTTGATCCCCTCCTCCTCAAAAAGTAGGTCTTTCCTCGTGTTGCTGAAGAATCAAGCTCCCAAAAAGTTAGTGTTGTCAGCTTTTTATAATGTTGGATCAATACTGTAATAATTTCCTTTCTGTCTCTTTTTAATGCTGCCTCTTAGTATACGCTCCATTCAACATTCAATTAGCATGCCTGCTATGAGGTAAAGTATGTTTTTATAAAATGTGGTTGGCCATATGCTTTCTTATTCTTTATGTAGATGTTTAACCTGAACTGAAGTGGGAGAGTAGAACTCTACTCTAAAAAGAATGTATGTTTAACACCGTATCAAATTCCAGTTACTCTTCCTACAATGTTAGCACGGGGTACAAGAGATATATTAAATGTGAGCTTTTTTAGGAAGAATTTTTATTTCCAATTTTGTTTGTCAGACCTAATTATTTTGTTTTATATCCAATGATGGTTTAATTGACAAATGAACACTTCCCTCTAATAAACTTTCTCTTTCCATAGATGCAGGGGTCTCACCTCCTTTGTCTGCCTCAGCCTTAGTTACACTCTCCTCTTCTTCTCTCCATCCCATTTTCACTTCCTTCATCCAGTGGGATATTTGGAATCAACTGTGATTTCATTTCACTATCTGCTTCCATCACTGAGCACTTGCAAGCTGTACAAGTTATTATCTCACCTGTGTAGACAGGCAGAGGATTTTTTAACAGCGTGTGCTTGTGGGAGACTTCAGTGTACATTGGAATCTCCTGGGGGGCTTGTTGCACCTCTGCTTGCTGGGCTCCACCCCGGGAGTTTCTGATGCTGCAGAGCTGGGCCAGGACACAAGACTTTGCATTGTTACCACTGTTTTTTAGGGGGAGCTGCGGATAGGTCTGGTCTGGTTTAGGGGGAGCTGGAATATCACGGGCTGAGGCTCTTCTGCCATCACCACTGTAGGAAGGAGGAATCTCTGGTTCCTTTTTTGCTTTTTATGTTGGTAGTGGGAAGGATCTTCAAGGTCTGGTGGGTAGGATAAAAGCTTTGGAAATCCAAGTGTGAGAGACAGAGGTGCTGTGACCCCCACTTCATGTGGATGAAGACAAAGGTACCTGCCAAGCTTTGCTGTGGGTACAGGAGGCTCTCTGTCAGCTGGGGGCAGTGTAATGAGGTGGGCAGTGCCCACTGCTGTGTCCTCCCCTGCCCTTTGGTCTCTCCTTTCCCTGCTACCTTGCCCCCAAGGAATTAGGGTCCCAGTGATGACACCTCCTGTGGTCTGCTTGTCCTGCTTGGGTGATGTGGGTTCATGTAGGTAGGAATCCTGCCAGGCCAGATGTGAATCTCACAGGAATTCTAGAGCACGGCGCCTTAGCCACCGTGAAACTGAACCTGTGTCACAACAGGCTGGTTGGGGAAGAGAGAGCACTGATGTTTTACCTGACTTCATTCGTTCTCCTCCACACACATGTACTTGACTGTGTCTTTGTCACTTACGCCTCACTGGCTGTTTTCATGGAATCAAAAGTGTATTCCTGGAAATACTAGATCAGAAGTTGTTACTGTGTCATAGTGAGTGTGTACATGCCTGCACACACATGATACCGGTGAACACATCTCTTCTTTCTTGTTTGAGAACAGTAGTGATGAGGAACACAGTCAACTAGTAATGTTCTCAGAATGGCTTTCTTTCCAGTGTATGTAATTTTATTATTTTTCTTTCCTCTTCATAGAAACTCCCCAACCTTCAAATCCTTTGAAGAGAAAGTTGAAAACTTAAAGGCAAGTACAAATGAATAATCTTCTTGCTCTCTATCTTGGTCTCTGAACTGTCCTTGGTATAGCCCAATCATTCACTATAGTATTTCCTTTGAAAAATATTTAAAGGACTTTAAGAACTTTGTGTTTATGTAAATGGATATTTAAAGTGTTATATTCAGTTTTGAGTGTTGTAGCATTGTAGCTTGCTAAATGCTGAAAGGAAATGTATAATTTAAAAAGCAATAGTACTTTAGAAATTTGTGTTTCTTCTCTTAAAAAAACTGAATGAAGTAAAAAGAGTTTTTTAAAAAAAAAGTTATTAATTTGAAAGGCAAATCAGTGAGAGATAGGGAGGGAGACAGAGAGACAGAGAGAGGAAGCAAAGCAGGAAGGAAGAGAAATCTTTCATCTGTGCCAGGGCTAGGCCAGGTCATAGACAGGAGCAATGAATTCATCTGGGTTTCTTGTGTGGGCTGCTGGAACAAGTCCTTGGGCCATCATCTGCTGCCTTCCCAGCCACATTTGTAGAAAGCTGGATTGGAAGCAGAGTAGCCAGGACTCAAACCAGCACTCTGATACGGGATGCAGCATTGAAAGCGGTGGCTTAACTCACAGTGCCTAGGTTTTATTCACTTCAAATACTCTTGTAATTGGACAACATTTAACATCTTTATTTTAGATAACAAGAATATATATAGAGAAAGCACACACAAAAAAAGAATTGGCCCTAGCATCCAGAGATGGTAATATAAGTAGGACTCTATTGTTATGCTCTAAAAATGTTTATATATCATAAATGTTTTCTTTTATCTTTAAATATAATCTTTCAATGTTATATTTCATGGCTGCATATATATATATATATGCAGGATATAAAGGATATTGTTTATTGAATCCTCAATTATTAGATTTTTGATTAGTATGAGGCCATGATAACTGTCATCAAGTATTCATTGCTTTTATTTTATTTTATTTTTTTAAAGATTTATTTATTTATTTGAAAGCCAGAGTTACACAAAGAGAGGAGAGGCAGAGAGAGAGAGAGAGATCTTCCATCCGATGGTTCATTCCCCAATTGGCCACAACGGCCGGAGCTGCGCCAATCCGAAGCCAGGAGCCAGGAGCTTCTTCCAGGTCTCCCACACGGGTGCAGGGACCCAAAGACTTGAGCCATCTTCCACTGCTTTCCCAGGCTATAGCAGAGAGCTGGATTGGAAGTGGAACAGATGGGTCTTGAACTGGCACCCATATGGGATGCTGGCGCTTCAGGTCAAGGCATTAACACACTGTGCCACAGCGCCAGCCCCCACTGATTTTATTTTAAATGTATTTGAATTTTAGTGGGGGTGACCCTACAGTGATTAGCTTATTGATTTGTAAACAGTGTTATTATCAAGATTATATTAAAATTAAAGTCATCAACTATTAGGATCACAGAGGATCTCAAATATCATCTAGTTTTCCATTTCCCACCCTGACTCTCTCTGCAGAGACAGAGCCATCTGTCATTTCTTCTAAAGCAAACTAATAATCACAGTGGATCAATGTATTCTAAGAATATAAATCAGCTTAAAAGCTGGTGTTCAGTTTAGTCTTTCAGAACTTTAACCAAATCACCTGTTTTTAAATGCATCTTTTAAAAATTACAGATGCAGGGCACATTTATCAGAAGAAAATCACTGTGGAGTGATCTTGATCTTTTGGTCTCACACACACAAGTGGTTTTACATGTCTTTTGTACAAACAAATCTGGACACAAATGAATGTTCTTCAAAAATGAATCACACTGCACAGAGTCGTACAGCTTTTTCTTCCACCTCCACTAGCATGATTCCCTGTGCACCCATGACTGCAGGGACCTGTTCTGTGTGCTCACTTCTCAAGGGCTTGGAACAGTCCTTGGTGTGTTGCCCACTATGCATTTGATGAATAAAAAATGTGTGACATTCCTCTGTGTTCTCTGCAGGATGCCAAGGCTTACTGTAATTTAGTTCTCAGAACTGTTAGGACTGTTTCTCTTTGAGACCTGCCCTAAGCATAAGGTTTTCAAATGGCTAGCTGGGAAGCCAGGCAACTTGTGTTCTGTTTCCTCTTTCTTTAAAAAAAAATACTTACTTATATGAAAGGCTGAACAATGGAAGGACAGAGGGAGAGAGACCCAGAGAGATCTTCCATATCCTAGTTTATTCCTCAAATAGCCACAACAACCAGGTCTGGGCCAGCTGGAAGCCAGGAGCCAGGAACTCCATCCTAGTCTCCCATGTGGGTGCAAGGGGCTCAAGTGCTCAGGCCAACCTCCCTCCACTGCCTTCCCAGGCATATGAGCAGGAAACTGGATTGGAAGCAGAGTGCCTGGGGTAAAGACTAGCACTCCCATATGGGATGCCAGTATTGCATGTGGCTATTAACCTGCTGTGCTACAATGCCAGCCCCAGTATGTTCTTTCAACACTAGAGATGAGAAACTTTCCAGGCATTTGTTATACACTCTCCTCCTGAGTGTGTTTACATTCTACAAATTGTGGTGAGACCTGCTTTTAAAGTACGACTAGGCATCATCTGGATTAAAAAATCCAATTTAAAGTATATACTAAAGAGATATCCCCAAAGAAGCTGCAAAATATAATTGTATGCTTGGGATATGATTTTACTAAATTGCATTTATGTGCAATTAAACATTGGGTTGACACGTCTTGCATTTGGCTGTTGGACTGATGGATGACTCTACGATTGTGCAGCCTTTGCTGCGACAGGGAAAGTGGAAGGTGCAGTGAGGATGAGTAGCGGACGCGCCCCTAGCTGGGCGGAAGGGGAGGTTAGGGATGGCCTCCCAGGTGTCTCAGTCTTATGCAGAGAGGCCTGAATGAGGAGAATGCCCGAAGCTTGGCACCCTTTTGAGGAATACCAAGGATTTCATGTCAGGGTGAGGATCAGCCTACACCTGCGCCACTGGCATCCCATATGATCTAGCTCCCTGCTAATGCACCTGGGAAAGTAGTGGAAGATATCCCCCCCCCCTTTTTTTTTGGTTTAGCATTTTCTTATAATTAAGGAATATGATTTATTTTTTTTTTAAAGATTTATTTATTTGAAAGGCAGAGTTACAGAAGGTCAGAAGGAGAGAGAGGGAGAGAGAGAAGGAGAGGGGGAGGGAGAGAGGGAAGGAGAGGGAGAGAGGGAGAGGGAGAGAAAGGGAAAGAGAGAGAGAGAAAGGGGTATCTTCCATCCACTGATTCACTCCACAAATGGCCGCATTGGCCGGAGCTTAGCTGATCTGAAGCCAGGAGTTTCTTCTGGGTCTCCCACGTGGGTACAGGGGCCCAAGGACTTGGGCCATCTTCTACTGCTTTCCCAGGCCATAGCAGAGAACTGGATCGGAAGTGGAGCAACCGGGATTTGAACCTGAGTCCATATGAGATGCTGACACTGCAGGTGGAGGCTTTACCTGCTGTGCCACAGGACTGGCCCCTGCAGTTTAGTTTTAAAAACTAAAATATGGATATGAATTAGGCAGATTTCTCAGACAATTTAATGATCTTTATATAGGAGACCAAAAAGGGGGGAAAAAATTTCAACTGGATTCTCATTGTTAACAATTTTCTGGCCAGTTCAATTAAAACTGAGTAAAGAGCAAAGTTAGATTCACACCTACTAGCAGCTTCTTGAATTGCTGCTCACTGTTTTTATTTATTTTAAAAATTTATTTATTTATTTGAAAGGCAGAGTTACAGAGAGGTAGAGGCAGAGAGAGAGGTCTTCCATTTGCTGGTTTACTCCCCAGTTGGCCACAGTGGCCTGAGCTGAGCTGATCAGAAGCCAGGAGCTGCTTCTGGGTCTCCTACGAGAGTGCAGGGTCCCAGGGACGTGGGCCATCTTCTACTGCTTTCCCAAGCCATAGGAGAGAGCTGGATCGGAAATAGAGCAGCCAAGATTTGAACTGGCCCCCACATGGGATGCCAGCACTGCAGGTGGTGGCGGCTTTACCTGCTATGCCACAGTGCTGGCCCCTGCACACTGTTTTCTTAATATTTGCCATCTTGTCAGTCAGTAATCTGGTGAGAGTACATAAATCAGTATTGAAGAGGATGAAATGATGTGTTAAGGGTTTTTGAAAAGCATAGAATATAGAAGTATAAGGCCAAACTATTCAAACAGATGTTTATTGATAAAATTTCAAGCCAGAGAGGTTGGAGTAGTGCTTTGCAAACACTAATGTGCACATGAATTACCTGGAGGACTTGTTGAAGTGCAGATTTCTGTTGTGCAGTTGGAGTTGGGTGGCAGGGAGATTCTGCATTTCTCAAAAGCTTCCAGGTGTTGCTGAGTCTGTAGGTCCCTGGGACCACATTTTAAATAATAGTTAATAGAAGTGGGAGAAACGTATATTCTTTGCTTTTTGATTTACAGTCAATAATATTTTTTGAATGAGTATATTTGAATGAACAATTTGATGCAATGCAAAATTTTACCCAAGAATAAGGAGAATTCAGTGGTATACTGTAGAGTTCAGTGGACCTTACAGAGTTCTGTAGACAATTTTCCGTGTGAAGAATAACTAACAAATAGTGGGGAAGGGAAAGAGCATTTATTAATCTGAATATTTCAGTAAGGAGGGATGCCAAGTTTTATTATTAAAGCACACTGAACATTACAGTAGGACTAAATTCCATACATGTGTATCATTGAACTATTAACATCCTGATTTATTTGGTCTTGAAAGCAAAATTAGTTTATGCAGAGTTAGCTAATTTTGTTTCAAGATGTCTTTTCTCTTTTTGAACTTTTCTCTTCTTTTTTAAGTCTAAAGTAGGAGGAACCAAGCCTGCTGGTGGGGATTTTGGAGAAGTCTTGAATTCGACTGCAAATGCTAGTGCCACCTCTGGGGAGCCGGTTCCAGAACAGACACAGGAGGGCCTGTGAGATTCCTACCTTTGTTCTGCTACCCACTGCCAGATGCTGCGAGCGAGATCCAAGCACATCTTGTCAACATTCATCGCCATGGATTTCTACCAGATGTGCTCTTATTTAGCTTTACATATTTCTTTGACCAAATAGTTTGTGGTTTAAACAAAATGAGAGTACCTTCACCTGTATTCCTGGAAAGCATCCTTTAATGTACATTCAGGGCCCTTTACTGAGGAAACGTTTATGAAAACACTTGTAGTATGTGAGGACACTCACTAGAATAATCTAAGACTGTGCAAGCTATCTTAGTTGCTTTCCTATTTTACAAAAATTGTTCTGGATGCCAGATTGATCTTTGTCTTCTATGACATTTTCTTTTTTGAACCTCTGTATATTTGATTCCTAACTAAAATTGTTTTGATTTTTCTGAATCTTGGTTATTAAAAATTTTGGTATTGTTTTCATCTCCAAGGGAAGAACTACTAGCTGTAAAAAATATTTTTGGATAAACACTGTTTTGGTGTAAATTATGTATCTTGGTATCTGCTATCACCAGACTAAACAGCTCTACATACAATTTGTTCTAGTTTTGTAAGTGACACTATGTACAGTAATTCAAACTACTGGTGACTTGAGAGTGAAACCCCCTACTTCCTTGTTTATCAACATTTATGACAGTAACCATTTCAATGTACTGGTTATTCTACTTACATCAACTTATTTTTTATCACATTCAAGTTTTAATTTCAGAGTAAGCTGACAAAATTCAGTCTGGATCAAGCATACTGTATTATCAGTAAGTTGAAATATGTGTACTGTCATGGATGTTCAATTCAAAAGCCTGAAAGTTGTTTTTTTTTTTTTTAAGCTCTGGTTAGCTATAGAAATGCTAAAATCAGTGCCATTAGGGACAACATTGCTGTGTTCAGGTAATCTATTTAGCACCCTTTTAACTAAGCACACAAAGTTCTATGACTAATATAACTTGAAAATTTTGTATACTGAGCAGTTGGTTTTAATCCCTGAGGCTGTAGTGCATTAATAAAAATCAACTCATCATTTTGTCCTTATTTGTTTTCTATGTGTTAGAAATGATAAGATTATACTGTAGACATTGCACCTACTTTGCAGAGCGGTCGCCAGGGTTGAAGGGATCACAGCCTGTGCATGTATCTGCACAGAGGCCAAGGTACTCCAGTGACTCACTTTTCCTTACGCTGTGCGTGTAGGGCTAACAATGTTATATTTGTTATTTATCAAGTTGTGATTGTTTGATTATTGTTTATGAAAACGTTAATTGCCAATACTGGAGTGACCTAAAGCATTCTTTTTTTAAAGCATGACTAGATTTATTTCAGGGTAAATTATCTTGTGAAAACCAAATTGGAAATGCTACAGTGTTGATTGTCATGTAATACCATGTTATCATTTCTGACTGCTGGAACTTTGTTAGCACTTTGGATGCATCTTAAACTATGCTCTCTGACATGTAAAAAGCTTAATAAATTCTGTATATCAGTAGTATAGGTCTCAATATTTATTATGAGACCAGTGGTCTGCAAACAACTTGTTGTATTTTATACTTAAAAAATCAGCTGGTGTTTATACTTAAAATTTTTTTTCTTAACCATCCAGTTTAAATCACATTCTACGCAGAGGCTTTGCAGCAAAAGCTGCTGAAACATTGTCTTAGAGGAGATCTGTAGAAATTGGTCTGTTTAACAGAAACATTTTGATTACTTAATATAACTGTTAAATTATTTTTTCTACCAATTAGTCTTTAATTTTTTTATTCCAACATCTTTTTATCACATTATTTTTTGGGTGTCCTTGTCTGCTGTTACTGTGTTTCCAACAAGGCAAAATGGAGTAAGATGGAAATTTCTTCAGTTGAGTGAAATATCCTCAAATCTCTTTACTGCCTATCTGGGGAAAAATGAGAGAGTTGGAGTAGGAAGTGGGATGGTTATGAAAGAAATTGGAGTTACTTTTCTAGACATCTACCTATACTTAACCTCAATTTTACTGTGCTCTGCCTCCTAAAAAAGTAGTAAAAAGAATGAATTTAGAAAAATACATTATTCAAAATGGCCTTAGTGGCATATCCAATACTGTGAATTCACAGATATTTAGAAATTTAGAACATAGTAATTGATAGGAATATTTGAAAGAGGTATTGATTGGTTACTCTATTGTGTTGCAGTTAACAATACAAGAAAACAATGAGTCAAATACCAGATACTTGAGAAGTTTAATGGAAGGAAAATATGCGTGAAGAAAATCTCTTCTTACAAAAAGGAATGTTCTTAATTTATGGAGTTGGTGAAAAATTAAGCAAGAAATACTGTGCTTATGAGAACAAAGTAATCGATGGAGGAGAACTCAGTTGGATTATCACCTTAACAACAAAGTAACTTTGGAAATAGAGAAAAAAATACTTGTTTTTGGATCTGTTAAGATATACAACTGTATTTTTTTTCTTTGCATAGTACCTGAAAACAATAAAAATTCTATAATTTGGGTATGGGTTCTTTTGTATACATGTCTGTGGAGGAAAGGGGCAAGCAGTTTCGTTCTTCAGCTTCTCTCTAAACCCTTCATCTCCTGGATTGGTAAAGAACCCGAAGCAGCTTTACTGAATCAAAACTTTTGGGGCCAGCGCTGTGGCATAGCCGGCGCCGGTTCAAGTCCCAGCTGTTCTACTTCCGATCCAGCTCTCTGCTAGGCCTGGGAAAGCAGTAGAAGATGGCCCAAGTCCTTGGGCCCCTGCACCCTCGTGGGAGACCCAGAAGAAACTCTTGGCTCCTGACTTTGAATCAGCGCAGCTCCGGCTGTTGGGGCTATCTGGGGAGTGAACCAGCAGAGAGAAGACCCCACCCCCCTTCTCTCTCTCTGCCTCTCAAATAAATAGATCTTTAAACAAAACAAAACTGCTACACACTGGCTACCAAGAGGCATTAACTAAGTGACTACTTTCTGCATGGGCCAGAGAAGATGCAGTGTAAGGCGTATGGGGCTGGCCTTGTGGCAACCCCAGTTAAGCCGAGGCCTGCAGTGCTAGAATCTTTAATGGGAGCACAGGTTTGAATCTGGGCTGCTCCACTTACTATCCAGCTCCGTGCTATCGTGCCTGGTTATTTGGGAAATAAATCAGCAGATGGAAGATCTAACTCTGCCGTTCAAATAAATCTTAAGAAAAAAGAAAAACACTCCCTCAAGTTTGGATTTGAAGGGGGTGGGCACATTCTGGGAATAAACACTGGGAGAAAAAAAGGGAGAAGGCTGAAAAGTGGGGTCTGTGATGGTACAGTGTCCAGGCATGTTCCGAGATCCCCCAACTCCCTTAGAGCAGGGATAGTAGCTACCGAGCGGTGACCAGATGGCTCAACACAATTTCTGAAACATGGCTGAACTGGATGTAGAAGTGGCAAAGGACAAACTTGGGTCCGGGGTTTCACAGGTGTTTACTGAGCCTGGTGTCAAGGGTCCAAGAAAAGCAAAGTCCTTGCCCTTGAGTTTACAAAGTTGGGCGAGCATTTCAGACCAGCCGTAGTACGTATCAAGAAGTAACATGGAAGAGAGCAGAGAAGCCGGATAGCGTGTGTGTGTGTGTGTGTGTGGGGGGGGGGGGGGTCCGAAAGTAAACAGCAGTAAAGCAGACCCTCCTATTTGGGCTAAGACCCCCGTAGGTGTGCGGGCAGAGCCTTGTTGCCCTCTGGGACACACAGGAGAACACCAAGTGTCACGTTACCAAAATACACCGTAGGGCAAGGACCACCGGGTACCTAGAAGGCAAAATTCCTGCGAGTCAAAGGCGCTTCGAGGACTTCTCACCACCAACGCTTAAGGGGCCCAATTTCAGCTTTCAAGTTTCTTCAGCCCTGCGCTCCGTCTCAGCACCGGACTGAGCCCGCCCTTCAACAACCGGCCGAGCTCCGCGGCAGGTGGGCGGGCCGCTCGTCGCCCCGCCCCCGTGACCCACACGCTTGCGGAAGCCAGGCCAAAGGTCAGAGGTGAAGGCGTCATGGCGGCGCTGTGTCGGACCCGTTCCGTGGCTGCCGAGAGCCATTTCTTGCGAGTCTTTCTCTTCTGCCGGCCCTTTCGAGGCGCAAGCACTGAGAGCGGCTCCGACAGCGGCGATTCCGACTCCACGGCACACAGGCTGCGTCCTGGCGGCTTTGCGAGTGCCTTAGAGCGACACTCAGAGCTGCAGCGGAAGGCGGAGCCCAAGCTGGTGAGCCCTCGCGGGAGCCGCCTTCACGCCGCGGGAAGCCGGGGCCCGGCTTCGGGGTGGGGCTACGCCGGCGACGTGGTGGGTGGGGCAGGGCTGGGCACGGCGTGGGGCTGGAGCCGCGAGCAGAGGGGTGGGCGGTGGAGTTGGCGAATGGTGGCCCCCTGGCCGGTTGCTGGGAGCCGAGCGTGTGGCTGGTGGCCTTCCTCCACTCGTTGTGCTCCTGTGTGGCATTCACGTGCTGGACCGGCCCTGTCCGCTCTCCTTTGCTGGCCTGACGGGCGCGGGCAGACGGAACTCAGGTTGGGAGCTGCAGGGTCCGCTCAGTGCTGTTCTACACAGTACCTCCTGAGTATGTAATTAGCAGGTAGATGAAAGAATGACTGTCTTCACGATCTTTGGCAAGTGATATATTCTGTCAATCTTTCACCTTTTTAAAGAAATAAAATTTCCACTTGTCTCAACCAGTACTTTGGTAAAATATTAAAATTTCTAGATAAACAAAATGGGAAAAATAAGCCTACAAGCTTGACTTGCTAAAAGTAGATACAACAGATGTGAAATTGGGTTACGTAAAAATAGACTCCATTTCTGTGTTTAGCTCCCTGGAGAGTAGTTCCAAACAGTACACAGACTGAGAGAGTCCTATATCGTAGGGTCATTTTAGTACCTACTGTGGTTTAAATTGTCCTGAAACCCCAGGATTAGAAGAAGCCTGGTATATTTTCCATTTTCTTCTGTAGCGAATTGCCACAAACTTAGTGACTTTACACAAATGTATTGTTTCTAGGCCGATGAGAAGTCTGATGATGTCTCACTGATCTAAAATCAAGATGTTGACAGAGTTCCTTTCTGTAGGTTCTGAGAAAGTTGTGTTTCCTGCTTCAATCTGAGTCCATCCCATTCCTTGACTTCAGACTCGGAAGCAACAAGGCTGAGTCCTCTTACCACATCACTGTAACATCTCTTCTGCCTCCCTTTTCTACTTTGGGAGCCCCTTACAATTGCACTGGGCCTGCCCTGGTGATCCAGGATAATCTCTCCATTTTAAGCTGATTAGCAACCTTAATTTCACCTGTAATTTAATTCCCTTCTGCCATGGAAGTTAATTTATTCATACATTCTAGGGATTAGAATATGGATGTTTGGAGGGGAGGCAGGCATATGTCACTCAACAGAATAGCTGTGATTGTCTTGATGACATCTAAGGGATTTTAGATCCATTCTTGCTTAGTGCTTTGAGGATTGAGCACAGTGAGGTAGGAAACATAAATACAGTTCAGTGCTCTTCCTCCAAATATTTATAAAGGAAAGGAATTTCCTTGTTTCTCTCCAACTTTTTTCACCCACTCCCACCATAATACCACATTCCACACAGCTTCAGAAACTCCCAGAGAATAAATTTCAATTGCTGAGTTAATTATAGCAAGAATGAAATTATTGCATCACATCAAAAAGTCTCCCATGCTTTGGAATTTCAACATGTTAAGTAGTAATAAATGTTTGTTTAATGAAGGAAACAACCAAGGTATTTTAAGAGTGCCCAGGATTCTCCTTCCTTTTCAAGACAGCTCTAATAGGGCTGCTCAGTTTTTCCAGGAGGTGGCCGGGGTGTTTTCTAGAGGTTCCAGAATATCCATCAAATATGCTCAGTCCAACTCAGGACGCATGAGTCTCCCTGAACAGTTGTTCTCCCCTTATCACGGTCTAGAAAACATCTACTAAATGGAGATGAAGCATATTCAGCTGTTACCTTTGTTTAATGAAAAGAAAATTTCCAGGGGAGGCTGGTTTGTAGCCTCTGTTCTACAAGTTCTTAACTTTGAAGCATTTGAAGTTACCTGGAGCCCATTACTGAATTTTATTTTTTTAACATTTATTATTTATTTGAAAGGCCCAGAGAGCTAGAGATCTTTGATCTGCTGGTTCATTCCCCAAGTGCCTGCAACAGCTGGGCCTAAGTCAGAGCTGAGAACTCAGTCTGGGTCTCCTACCTGGGTGCGGTGACTCTTGTGCTGCCTCCTGGGATGCCCATTAGCAGGAAACTGGGATAGAGAGCAAATCTAGGACTGTAACCCAGGCAGTGTGTGGACTGTGGGCACCCCAAACAGCATCTTAACCTCTGGGCCAAACACTGGGATAGAGAGCAAATCTAGGACTGTAACCCAGGCAGTGTGTGGACTGTGGGCACCCCAAGCAGCATCTTAACTTCTGGGCCGAACGCTTGTTCCCCCCTTATGATTTTTTTTTTAAGATTTATTTATTTACTTGAAAGAGTTACAGAGAGAGAGAGAGGTCTTCCATCCACTGGTTCACTGCCCAATTGGCCGCAACTGCCTGAGCTGCACCAATCTGAAGCCAGGAGCCAGGAGCTTCTTCCAGGTCTCCCGTGTGGGTGCAGGGGCCCAAGGACTTGGGCCATCTTCCACTGCTTTCCCAGGCCATAGCAGAGAGCTGGATTGGAAGTGGAGCAGCCGGGTCTCTAACCGGCGCCCATATGGGATGCTGGCACCCCAGGCAGTGGCTTTACTCGCTAAGCCATAGCGCTGGCACCAACCCCCCCCCCCCCCTGCCCTGGCGCTGCTGATTCTTAGTTGTTATCACTGACCAGTTCCTCCCTTGTCCAGATTATTACACACACTGAGGACAGTTATCTCCCTAAAGTTGAGCTCTATACTGAGATGACCTTTTTGTTTTCTGGACATCTTGTGAACCTCCAAGAATAAATAAGCATCTCTGCTGTAGCAATAGAAGCCTGCCACCATTCAGACCATTCCTAGTACAGAGGTTAAAAACTTAGGTTCAGTTTCGGGCTGTCAGCATTCAGATAGTGTTTTTGCTATGTTGCTAGTGGAGTGACTTTGGGCAAGGTCCTTAGCCTGTCTGAGTTTGTTCTATTATCTCAGTGGAAGTAATACTTTTATTGGGAAATGCATGTGGAATAATACACTTAAAGTGCTCTCAGTACAGTGATTGGTGCAGAATTAAGCATCTACTCAGTATATTTTAGCTTGTGTGTGGCCTTAGCCATTTTTCCTCCAGTCTTCTGCTTTCTAGAAAATAGTTTTAGTGATGCTTCCAGAGTTGCACAATTATTTGAATGAAATTCCACTCTTTTCTTAAATACTAATATGTTTTAACTTGTCTAATCATGTAGGTTTTCAGGAGGCTGTTGGCATGGGGGCAGGGAATGTATTGGATATCTCTGTGCTGTCCCTTCAGTTTGCTGTGAACCTAAAACTCCTTGATGGAAATGAAGTGTTTTTTATTTTAAGAATGCCTCTGAAATGCTGTTTTAAAAGTAAGTAAGTGTATGCTTGAGCCAAAACATTCAGAGACAAAATCAAGGTTTTAATGGCAAAAAAAAACAAAAAAAACAAAAAAAACAAATTAAATCACCAAAAATCACAACTTCCTATGCACATGTCATTATTTAATCTCAAATTTAAGGTCATTAATATGTCATTTGTGGGGCCAGAGTAATGTATGTATACTTCAGAATAAGATTTTTCCTGATTTCTCCCACTTGTGGAATGTAAGTTTCAGGAGAGCAGAGACCTTGTCTCACTGTTCTGTCCTCACACCTAGCACAATGCTTGACCTGCAGTGTGCACTCAGTAAATGTTTGCCAAGTGGGTGAATTAATGAATAGTGCACATGGTACATGTTGGGACTTCAGTTACACTTGCAAGGCCTGTCTCTGAATGCGGTCTCTACCACTGAGAATAGACCAGGCTTAAGAGTGTAAAATGTGCCTGACTGGAATAATAATGGAGCAGAAGCGATTGTTAGAGTAATAAGAAAACTGAAAATATCACTTTAGTTTTAATTTTAATATTTATTGCAAGTTTTTGGTGCTTTACTAACTTTCATATTTATGATAAGGAATAAGAACAGATTTAGGTGGTAAGCGGTTCAACTTATGAAAAAAATCACTTGTTGAAGTGTCTGGGTTTATTTAATTGAAGTGCATCCTGAGATTATAAGATGCATAAACACTTATGTGATGATAATTTTTGAAAAAATGGAGTATAAAAGTAGTATTTTCTTATTATAAAAAGAAAATTAGATGGTACCAAAGGTTACTGTGTGAAATGTAAAAGCTCCTTGTCTTTTTTCTTCATTTTCTCAAGACTGGGGAGTTTTTTTGTTTGTTTGTTTGTTTGTTTTTTAATGCATGCCTCCAGAGGCTTATACATGCATGCACATATGTATGGGCACAAATACTTAAAAATACAAGTTGATTCATACTAAAAATACCATTTTGAACTAGATTAATATTTAAGAATATAAGCACTCAGAAATCTTGTTTTAAATCTTAGTTCTTCTCCATTCACCAGCTTTGTTTCTTTGGAAAATCACTTAGTACCTGTATGTCTCCTTTTATCTCCCTTTTTTTAATAAAAGGAAATTATGTCATGTGAGTTGTCATTCATGAGACTAAATGAAATTAGTATTTAAAGCATTTAGCACAATGCTAAATGCACTTAGAAAATTTCAGTTATTCCTGAAAATTGCTATTTTTTCCACTTAAATTTACTATATTTTCTCTTAAATGTAGCTTTCATTTTTTGTATCATTACATATGTGTAAATTTATACTTTATTAAGAAAATATTTGCTTGTTATTTCATCCTATGGAATTAGCATAATTTATTTAATCAGAAACACCGTCTGGTTTCTGTGTGGGATTTCATTTATAAAATGGTTTCTGTAAATTTTTTGAAACAAATTTGTTCCCTAAGCCATTTCTTTTTTTTAAAAAAAGCAAGGTTACATCAAGGCTGGTGCTGTGGTATAGTGGGTAGAATTTCTGTCTGCAGTGTTGGCATCCCATGTGGATGCTGGTTCGAGTCCTGGGTGCTCCACTTTCTAGCCAGCTCCCTGCCGTTGGACTGGGAAAGCAGCAGAGGATGGTCCAAGTCCTTGGGCCCCTGCACCCACGTGGGAGACCTGAAGAAACTTCAGACTCCTGGCTTCAGATTGGCCCAGCTCCAGCTCCCA